CTTCTAGCAAATGACTGTGCCATCATCGAAAATGCGAATGTGTACAGTGCGCAGCTTCAGTGTTGAACCTTTATGGTTTAAAGGATCTTCTTAGCTTCAGTCTCTAAGGTTCCCAAAGCTCGTAAGCTAGGGTTTAGGGTGAAGGGACTTCTTGTCCATCTGCTTGATCATAGCTGCCGTGGTAGAGGCTTGGGTGATTAGGGTGATGGTCAGGGTTTCAGGTACAGGTGTTAGGGATATAGTTTTTAGGGTTTAGGGGTGACAAGCAGACAGTACGAAGCAGCCTTGCATCGGAATTTGCTCCGCCAAGCGGGATCACGGGTTTTGGGCGGTTTTGGGGCTTCGGCCGTAACCTCGAAACCCTTTCAAAACTCTGGTTCATCGGTGCTGAAGCCGGCCGCATGCGACCAAGTTAAGCCCAAGGTCCTGAGCTTTACAGCAAGAATCCTATGTTGTAAGCTCGGGGTTCTCAGCTTTTGTTGCGTTCCTCACGGCTTGGGTCAGATCATATGACTTTATCTCCAAGTATCTCGTGCCCAGCAAACCGCATTCCAGACGGGTGCATTTGGTGTTGAAAAGGCTAAAGCCCGTGACAGCTTCCTTAGACTCGGGACCTCCGGGCGAAGGCCATCCGTGCCTGTAGGGGTCTGCCGACGTAGTATATACGGGTCCATGTAATAATGCAATGACCTCATGGTCAACCCATGTTATGTGGATCCCTGCCCGGAGCCGAACCGTAAATCACGCCATCCGAAACCATCTGCAAGAGCATCGACATCCAATTTTTCAATCCTGGACCGGAAGCCCTAAACCCTGAAATCCCCCGACGGAAGGCCCAAGCGGATCCCAACTCCGAAAGCCCTAAACCGATGTCCTTAAACCCTGAGTGCGCTTGTCTTACCCTCCCAAACAGAAGATCTACTTAAAGAAAGCTCACCACCAAAGCCCAGCTGTACCCAATTTCTCTACACCATCAATCCGAAATATTCTTTAACTTCCAACCTGCATGAACAAACAATAAACCCTACATCCTCGACCCAAATTATCTTTACAGCCGCAACCCTATGTAACCTTGAGGCTTAGGAAAATCCTGAACCCCAACTTATCCTAGAGCCATGAGCCCCGTCCGCCGCCCAACCTCACATCCCCCAACACCGAGCAGGCTCCCAAAAGGCTTCCACCCTGATTATAGCCCCAACACAAACCCCCAAGCTCTAAACTTCATCTCCGGAGGAGTTGCCCCATGAGCACCCAAACCCACATACCCGAAGCCCTCTTCCAGCGATTGAGGCCCCTCTACGAACCGAAAGAAGCCCAGAGCCCTCTGATGGCCCTTAGGGACCCATCAGCCCAGGAACTCCGGTCTCAAAGAAGGCCGATTTGCCGATGCTCGGGATCTCTACTCTTCAGCTCTGGCTTGGCGGCTTGGATAAAGAAAAGTATGCAGCAATCGGTTTAGTCTTTGATACCAGTAATATATATGATACAGTCTATTATAACACCGTTTAGTATACGGTTTAGTGCCATTTTGGGTTTAGGGCTTCTGGCTTCTAGGGTTTAGGGCTTCTGGTGTGTTCAGGGTTTAGGGTTTGGGGGTGGGGGTTTCTGGGCTTCTAAGGTTTAGGGTTT